ATATACTTGTTCTGGCTACATTGCGGAGAGTGGTGTGAGAGGAGGGAGGAAGATGAGAGGCTTTACGAACCATAAGTGTTCCCTTTCTTTGTAACCAGGTCAACAGCCGAGATGTTTCTGTACAAAGAGTTGTAGAAGGGATGTGGATAAGTGGGGGTTGTGGTGCATATTTAAGCATATAGTGGCTACAGGCAGCCCGGTCGCCTGAATAAAATGTTGGCATTGTACAATACTGAAAACCACGATATGTTACATTTGTATGTTTCATATCAATGACGTGGTTCAGATTACATGCATATGAGCTGAGTTTCTCATCAGGAGGAGGAGGAAGAGATATTTAATGCCTAGGCAAGATGAGGCACCTAGGCAAGATGACCAAGTAGCAGATTGTAGCAGAACACTGTTTGAGGTCAACAAAAAAAGGCAATTTAATAAGAGTTCAGGACATTTTCAGCCTTTTTTAGCAACCAAACCAGGTATTTTGAGCCAAAAACTTCAATTGGACAAATTGAACGAAAGGAATATGAAGAACTTCCAGGGTAATCGAGGAATTTGAGGTAGCCAACATTCTGGATTTCCAGTCTATGGCTCAGAAGGTAGAGTTGGGGCTTCCACTAATTGGAAGATCGGAGAGTCAATCCCCGGTACCTCCAGTCCACATGTTGAAGTATCCTTGAGCAAGATACTGAACCCCAAATTGCTCCAAATGGCTGTTGGCACCTTGTATAGTAACCTCGGCCACCAGAGTATGAATGTGTGTAAATGGGTGAATGAGACTTGGAGTGTAAAAAGTGCTTTGAGTGGTCATTAGGCTAGAGAGGTGCTATACAAGTGCATGTCCATCCATACATTCGAAGAACTTCTATAAAGGAAATGAACTGCTTGGCAACACGACCAGGCTTCTAATTGAGACAGGCCTTTATTTGTAAATATTTAGCCACACCAGGCTAGTAAAAGGGACTGGGTGTTTAATTGGGATGAGGCTTTTGATTGAAGTTTTACGGTGAGTAGCTTTTTTGCCTAAACCTAACCACACGTTTTGTCACAACATACAACAGTTTCAACATATCTGCTATACATTAACCTGCAAACATAACATATCCATGGTTTGCAGAAATGTACAGTGCCAACATTTATTCTGGCGACTACGTTGTGTACAGGGATTGAAAATGCACGTTTTTATCCCAGATAAACATGCATGTTTTGGCCAGAGTCTGACAGAAAGACATGCACTGTGAGAGAGGCAGGCATTTACAAACCATGAGGGATTGTTTAGTGTCATTAACAGTTTCCTAATCTGACACAAAACACATCTGTTTGTGGGGGAGGCATGATTTGAAGGGGAAACCGAGTCTTGTTAGAGTGATGTGGGAAACTCAGCCCACTCATGCAACTTGATGAAGTCAAATGCATATTTTAAATGATGAGAGAACAGCAGTCAGCATTAGAGGAGCTTAAGAGAAATGCAAACGGCATATGAAAATGTAATGAAAATATATGCCTTCCACATTTCTGTATTCAGTCGAGGGGAAAAGTTACCAGTGTAACCTCAGCTTACCCTGCGTTTGCCTGCTATATGTTTCAGCTGACACAGTAATTATGCACTTTGCGCATGTTACCAGGAGTTTGACAACCCCCCAGCTTGCCACAAGTTTTGTTGTGATTGCAGCTCCGCCGACATCTGCATTTCAAACACCTGCCACCTTTTAGAGATAACTAACCCCCACATGATCTTGTCAATGGCACTGGCTGCAGTGTCTCACAACCTGCGTGACTTACTCAGTCTAATGATAGAGATCATGTAATTCAAATGTTTGAGCCTTTAGATTCTCTGACAGTAGGAATATAATTAGTGGAGTGTAGCTGACGGGAGCTGGCTAACCCATTGCTCTTTAGATAGAGTGTTAGTTATGGTGGTTGAATGTCATGAAGCCTTAGCTTGATGCTAAATTTGCTTGACAAATGTTACCAGAGAGCAGGCTTTGCTGTTTGCAGCTCCAGCTCATATTCAGAGGAGAGGCAGCCCAGAGTATGCCCATGCATTAATGAGCATATACACTTGATATATTTAGGACATCTTCTTGATGTCGAGCTGCAGCCCTATTTGCGCAATCCACTTCTTGGCTGTCTCAAACATTTAAAGTCTCTGGATTGTCAGCTTCTCTTTATGTCCATCTCTTCATCTGTGATTAGTGAAGATTTAATGAGGGAAATCAACATGTGATGGTGGGTTTAGACTGACTTTACATCATCAGTGGATGAAAAGCCTGTCAATAACCTCATATTATATGCACATAAATGACAGGACGTATCATACCTGAGCTGCAACAGTGTCCTGAATATTGATCTGTGTATATATATCCACGGGATGAGCCAAAGGTCGCACCACCTCTCCTACACAGGAGCAAGACACACAGACTTTGTGGTGGGTTTGCCTCTTTTATTGTTGTTGTTTGTGTCTCTTTATAGTTGTTATGAAACCTTTTGTTTCTCTTTGTGGTCATTTTCAGTCTCTTCCTGGTTAGTATTTATTAATTTTGAATGACATTTTGCCTGTTAAGGCAGCCCTGGGGCACTTTGGGGCCCCTGGGGCTGTGCCCAGTAGGCCCTTTCAGTAATGCATCAAATTATACTCTCACAGCCACTTTATTAGGTACACCTGTTTAAATGCTTGTTGACACAATTAGCTAATCAGCCAAATACATGGCAGCAACTCAGTGTATTTAGGCATGTAGACATGGTCAAGCTGACCTGCTGAAGTGACTTTGAATGTGGCATGGTTGTTGGTGCCAGACAGGCTGGTCTGAGTATTTCAGAAACCGCTGATCTACTGGGATTTTCACACACAACCGGAAGACCATCTCTGCACCAACACCACATCGAACCTTGAAGCAGATGGGCTACAGCAGCAAAAGACCGCACCAGGTGCCACTCCTGTCAGCTAACAACAGGAAACCGAGGCTACAGTTCACACAGGCTCACCAAAACTGGACAATAGAAGACTGGAAAAACGTTGCCTGGTCTGATGAGTCTTGGTTTCTGCTACGAAATTCAGATGGTAGGGTCAGAATTTGGTGTAAACAACATGAAAGCATGGATCCATCCTGCCTTGTATCAAGGGTTCAAGCTGGTGGTGGTGGTGTAATGGTGTGAGGGATATTTTCTTGGCACACTTTGGGCCCCTTAGTACCAACTGAGCATGGTTTAAACACCACAGCCTACCTGAGTGTTGTTGCTGACCGTGTCCATCCCTTTATGACCACAATGTATCATCTTCTGATGGCTACTTCCAGCAGGATAACACACCATGTCACAAAGCTCAAATCATCTCAAACTGGTCTCTTGAACATGACAATGAGTTCATTGTACTCCAATGGCCTCCACAGTCACCAGATCTCAATCCAATGGAGCACCTTTGGGATGTGGTGGAACGGAAGATTCGCATCATGGATGTGCAGCTGACACATCTTCATCATGTCAATATGGACCAAAATCTCTCAGGAATGTTTCCAGCACCCCGTTGAATCTATGCCATGAGGAATTAGGGCACTTCTGAAGGCAAAAGGGGTCCAACCTGGTACTAGCATATAGCATATGACTCTGTAATTTGATAGCCATAGAAATATTTTGAAGCTGTTTCAGTCAGGTAGAAAATAGTGCAGTCAATTACCCAGAATTTGTGCCTTAACCTCTGAATGCGTTGTTTAATTGGGCTGTTTCAGTTAGATTTGACCTTCCATGATGGGTCAAGTATGCAGCAGATGTAACCGTATAATTGAAAATACTTGGTAAAGGTGAGCTTTTGACTGAGTTGCCATGAGGAATGACAGGTGTTAAGTTAAATAGCTCCTATAGAATATTAGATTTTAATCATTACTCAGGTTAAGGATGTGAACACACATTTGAACAAGACAGGCCATAAGGTTGAGGTTGAAAAGATGCATATGGTTGCTCATGGGAATACCTAATAAAGTGCTGGTCGTCTGGGTCTCACTCAGTCATGCGCTTAGACTGAATGTAGTCAGGCAGTGGCCCCTACGGGCTACCATCTGTAAGACAAAGCTGATGCTGCTCTGCAAAGCCTTACTGTATTTTTCTGTTGTTGTAGGGGCTGACAAGTCAGACTCCCTTTTCTTGCGTTGCACTGTAGAATACAAATGGGTTTCTGTATACTGTGCTGCAGATAATGAGTGACTCAGGGAAACATGCTGCAGGTCATGTGTGAAGAGACTGGCGCGCACAGGCACGCACGCACGCAGACACACAGGCGCATAATGGCACAAACATAAACACAGGCGCACCCGTTTACAGACACAAAAAGGCACTCACGCACATTTGACAGATGTAGCCCTACCTCCAGCTGCTCATCTGGGAGCATCTCTGACTACTGGCCACTTATTTCGTCGTTTGACTTGCATTTTAGACTTTAACTCTTGCAGGAGAAATACAGTCGGAGTTGTCCCCCGGATCGTGGGATGTGAGCTGTTGTTGTGTCTGTGGGTGACGGAGGGGGGACGGGGGGCGCTCTGCTCTGCTCTGCTCTGCTCGGCTCGGCTCTGCTCTGCTCAGTGCAGGACGCAGGAGACAGTCGCTCTCCAAGGTGCTGAAAGTGGGAGCGCTCCCTCCTCAGTCTCGGCTATACTGACGATGAATGCGACCTCTGCCGAGAACCCGCAAATCAAACAATGACTGGCTTCAACCCCGCTCGCTTTCATTTTTCATACTCTAACTTCTACCCTTCTGGATTTGTATTTTTCATACAGCCGCTGGATGTACACACGCATGCAACAAGACTGACTGCAGCTTTCTAACATTCACCTGCGTCGTTGGGAAATATTGAATTGACTCCGGATTCTCAGGGAACGCTACAGAGGATTTTTTTTTCTGGCTGGTTTTCTCGGGCTCTGTCTCCGTACTGCATGCTTCTGGACGTGAACTGTTTGTCTCAAAAAAATAAATAAATAAAAAAGGTGAGTCCGACGAGGATGAATCATGAAGCAGACCTACTTTTACGCGGATATCGTTTTCTTTCCACTGGAAAGGGGGAACCATATCTCCAAAAGGCTGGTGTTTAATTGCTTTTAAAGCCATCATCACGACCGGGAGGGAGGATTATAGTGTCTCGTGGAGTCTGGTGTATTTACCCTGTGGATAAAGTGAAGTTTCCAATAGGCTAGGCGACTATCTTTAATCTGCTCTAGCCAATCTATCTGTCGGGCTCCCTGGCTTCACACTAAGTGGATATCAAGCTATTTCAACGCGGTGAGTTTGCCCTGTCGTGTAATATATACATCCCTGTTGTCACTGGCATTTCCATTGACCTGTCAAGACACGCAGCACTTAGAAACCAAATGATTCAAATCAAAGCCAAATACATGGCCATTTTTTTAGCCATGTATTGCTGAACAGTCTGGATTCTGCTGTGTGGTTTCCCCCCTTCCGAAGGAGGGATGCATTTGGGGTTAAATCATTGCGCATTTATGATTCGGGAGATTTGCATGTTACATGCATGATTTAGTAAGAGCAGGTTACCCCACTGTAAGTCCAGAGTGGGAGCAGTAATGTGTGTAACCATTGGCTTCAAAGGAAATAAACCATAGCTACCTGTTGTCTCTGGTCGCCCTCATGGAGTTGAACGTGTCCAAAGATAGCTAATGTGTTTTTATTTATTTATTTATTTATTTATTGAATGTGCAGATGACTACTGTGAGGAGCCCACTCCACCCACTTTAGATTGTGGATGTTTTAACCTTTTTTCTCTGTAGTTGGATGCTCACCCATTGCTGAGATTTTGCACGAAGGGAATAATTGGAATCTGAACACCCCCCGCACCACCACCACCTCCACCACCGCCACCACCGCCACACCAGCGCACATAGGCTCCAGACTACACGCTTCTTATGTCAACAATGTGTTTTTTTCTGTCAGGAATAATGGCATTATATCCTGTTGAGTGAGCTGCATTGGAGAGTCTCATTTGCCTCAGCCAGGAGATAAAATATTAATTAAAGCAACTTGAATGATCCCTATAATGAAAAGTGTCTGCAGCAGTACACACACAGGCCTGGGCTAAATTGAAAAGTGTATTGAATGTAAGGGTTATGAAGATGTGCCAAACAACAGCAGTGGAATCATCATCCATCAAATCATCTCTTTTTTTTCCACTGCAGCCCATTTCCTCATGATGCTGATAATGAAGCGCAGGACGGATCCGGAGAGGATACCGGGAGCCTAGGGATGACATCCACACAATCTCGTTGAATGTGGATATCGATGCCGCGGCGAAGGATGGGCCCTCTCCTGTCGGCCGCCTTCGCCCTCCTGCTGGCCCTGAGCTCCGTGTGTCCGGCCTCGGTGGGGAACCCCGAGGATTACACCGCGGACGAGGCGGAGCGGACCGCCGGTGAAAACATCGTCTTCGATGACTACCGGGGGAAAGGATGCGTGGACGACAGTGGCTTCGTCTACAAACTCGGGGAGCGGTTCTACCCGGGACACTCGAACTGTCCGTGCGTGTGCACGGAGGACGGGCCCGTGTGCGACCAGCCCGAGTGCCCCAAACTGCACCCTAAGTGCACCAAAGTGGAGCACAATGGATGCTGCCCCGAGTGCAAGGAGGTTAAAAACTTTTGCGAGTACCGGGGGAAAACATACAAAATACTGGAAGAATTCAAGGTAAGATCTCAGATCCGATCTGGATCCCTTTTTTTTCAACAGCTTCAATTAATATTTCCTGCATTTTTACATTTAAACAATGAGTTCAGATGCGTGATCCTTTAATAATCCAATCATGGCTCGAGAAACGTTGCCATTAACATTTCCAATGTGCTTCTGTCTCATACAGCAGGGGAGCATTTATGAATTTTTAAAGATGCTGTTTCCAATCTACTGACATTGCCTTTGATGGTTGTCTTCCAGTTTAAATGATAAAATAGTTAATACGCTACATAAAGTTCTTCAAGGGCTATAGTGCCCAACTGATGCTCATGAGTTGGTTCCATCTTGCCAGGTTTATTCAGTCAGTATGGATGCCACTAAAGAAACCGTCTGTCTGGGCTATTCAGTTGTTGCAAAGTTCATATACAATGACCCGAACGCCCCTAACTAGACTAGACAAAATCTGTAGTCATAATGTCATTTTGGTAGCACTCACTATGTCTACCCACACATTGCTGTTGGTCTTCCAACTTGTTGACAGCAATCAACTTTGATATCTGTTGTTAAAAATCACAAAATGCAGCCCAGCAGCAGCAGCAGCAGAGATGACCAGTGGCAAGGGGTCGTCAGGGTTTTGGTTAGTGAGGCTTCCTGTTAGCGTCACTATATATATTGCTTCTTGGCAGACTGTAAAAGTATCATGAAAATGTGTTTATTGGCCAAGGGCACAAAGATGGCTGCCTCCCAGAGTGATGTCATCCCCACCACCCCCCTCCCTGCACCATCAACTGAACATTCACCCAGCATTACTAAACTGACAGATGCTATAAGGGTATTTTAAAGCTTTGATTTGTGGACACTGAGTCACTGCTGGCAGATTCAGCCTCCCTGTGTCTCCTGCGTGCGGTGCGCCGTTTCTACCCATCGGACTGGCGTCTCAGCAGTTGTTATAGAGCATGACAGTACTCCCTGATTAGAAATAACACTATTAGAATGACAACTACTGTCTGTGTTTAAACTGTTGCTGCCCGTGAGGAAACCTCCTCATTCAAATTCCTCACAAGTGGATTGGGGCTGCCAGTGATTGAAATGTAATATGACACAATGCAGACTACACATCGGTATAGCTCTAACGCTATTATTAATAAAGGCATTTTATCATGTGCAAATATAACCAGGCAGAATTAGTACATCCATTACAGTTGCTTTAAACCTACAGTGGAAAATGTAGTTTTGGATCTACAGATCTGAATTAAGAGTATTTAAGACTGAAGTTAGATTGAAGTATCTTTCACATCTATTATACACCTGAATTATCATTTTATGGATTTTACAATTGCACATTATGTCATAGAGTTAGAGGCAGGAAATCTACATCAAGTGAGCCCAACACTCGAGACAGCAAGCTGGTAGTATGAAGACATGGCTGATTTACTCTGTTTTTCCGCTCAGCCAACAGCCAACCAACAGTTTTTCCTGTTTAAAAAAAAAATGGGTGCACAAACCAACAACAGCTCTGTGACTGTGACTAATGGATTTTCCCAATCAGGTGTAGAAAGGATTCATGTTCGCATGTCGGAGAAGAAGAGCACTTTTCGATCATCTAGTTCGTGCAGCCATCTCAAACTGAAAGGCACTTCAGATCTAAATGAATACTTGAAACTAAGCTTTTAAAAGCATCTTGAACATTAACTATCATTGTCAGTGGCAGATTAGCAGAGTGTTCAGCAGTGCTGGCAACCACCATAGAGATGCTAGAGATCAAACAATGTGCAAAATCCAAATCCATAATACAAATAAGGAGCTAATGGAACAGATATACATAGTTACATTCATTCAGGAAACTTCTAATATATACATGCCTACAACCAGTTTGAGCTTTGGCAAAAAAAGTGTCAGAATTTTACAGATAAAATCCGCCAGCAATCAAATTTAACTGCTGGTTGCATCTATTAACATTGTAACAAACCTACACAACAGCTAGTCTGAGCATGCTGTTTACTGTGCGCATTTTTCTGAGATGTAAGGGCATAGACATGTTGTGCTTTCAGACATAAAAAGATATATAAGACTGAAAGCATTACAACTGTTTTGCTCTAAACATGCGTTGAAAGAAATATTATTGGATTTAAAGATTTCCTAAAATTATTAGAAATATTCTGTTCTTATCTGAAAAACAGTCAAAGCCAATGTTTTACTGTTAGATAGGACTACAATATATGAGTAGCAACTCATAGTGGTATTGTAAGGGTCTTTGAATTAAAACCATTCAGGTAAAGAATTGCTTCTTATTTTTGCACACAACACTGACATGTTATCAGAGATTGTCCTCCTACAAAATACAACCACATAGGCTGTTTGGACAAGCATCAATTACAGCCCATATTTAGATTAATTTTAGGTGGTGACCTCCAGTGGGTGTAGTAATATGACAGGAGCAAAAGAGAAGGTCAGGCGACATAGTATAAAGAGCAACAAAGTGCACTTTCAAAGGGTGGAATTGAGGCGAGGTGGACGGGTAAGAGATAGGACTTTCACCCAGGAGTCCGCTGTTTGTGTCCTGTGTGAACCAACAGTCAACGCTGAGCTAATTTTAAGAATGTAGAATAGTATGTCATGTGACGCATGTTATATTTGTATAGTTACTTTACCTTAGTTATACCAGGAGCGTATCTCAGCTGGCACTGGACTAGAGGTAGGGTTCACCCTGGACAGGCCGCCAGACTATCAAAGGGCTGACAGAGAGACAGACTACCATTCATGCTCACATTCACAACTCCGGGCAATTTAGAGACACCAGTTGACTTAACCTGCATGTCTTTGGACTGTGGGAGGAAGCCGGAGAATGCAGCAAAAACCCAGACTGACAGGAAGAACATGCAATGTGCAGGTCAAACCTGGAGCCCTCTTGCTGTGAGGTGACAGCACAAACCCCTGCACCGTGTTAGTAACAAACATACTTTAAAGTAAGCCAAACTATTATCTTTTTTTCTAAACCTTACCACTTAGTTTTGTTGCAACTGCGACTGTTTGACAACATTAACCACATGTTACAAACTGCAGTCTGTAACAGTCATGCACGATCTAATCTGTCATCCACTGGTAGAGGTGCAAATTTAGGAAAAGCTTCTGTGGATTGCATTGGAGGGTAGGAACATATGACCTATGAGTTTGTGTGGGTTAGAGGGCTTATTGTATTATCACCTTGTGAAGAAGCCATGGCAAATGTGTAAACAGACTGCTGCCTACATCCAGAAGACACAGAGCAACATTAATATTAAGTTTGATTCATGTTCCTGGCCACCTGATGAATAGAAGTTTCTTTGAGCTCTGCTTTTGGTCTCCCCCAGTCACTGGGGAAATATCCGACTCTTACGCTGCTAAATGCTCCACTATGTTCACCAACTAGTCACCAACTTTTACAGCTGTTAAGTGTTGCACAAGTAGTATACAGTTAATTTGACAGAGCTTTGTTGTTATAAACTGCTGCTTTGGCCGTAAAACCAAAACCATTAGCTGAAAGATGCTAAAATTCTGTAGCGCTAAAGAGATCTGCAGAGTCTGGTGTCTGTGGATGCGTCACCTCCAGCAACCCCTGACACATATACATATTTGACTCATATTTATTATAAAAATATTGATTACTGCAGCTTTGAAGTTAGGGAAAGATTACAAGTATATTTAAATAACTAAAATGTAAAGACTTGACTACTACCAGTACATCAGAGGAACATGAACCTGTGTTGCCTGTGTTGTAGGTAAACACTGATAATACCTGTTGTCAATCTGAATTGACTTGTACACAATAGTTGTGTATGCACATAATTTGCAGTTTTTAGTGAAAACCTGCAGTTTAGCTGCCATGAGAGGCTTCAGCAGAGCGTTCTGTAGTCTGTAGCATGTTTGTTTTAGTTTACATAATGACTTCCAAGCAAAGAAACCTCTGCTGGGAGATGTTGGAACATGTCGCACCTGTGAAAATTAACATGTCATGTCACTGTAACAAATTGAAGCAGGCAGGGGGGCTACACAGTGAGTTAAGCCAAATAAAATGTAGACAAGCATCATTATTAATCGTTCCGCTACGGTTCATCTGTGGCAGTCTAACTTCTGACAAATCTGACAAAATTGAAAACCAGATGTAAAAAAAAAAAACAGTGGCTAGGAGTTGTCCATCATTTATTAATGTAAAACCTTTGTATTTGCTTTTGATTTTTCATGTATTTACCCCAGTGCATTAGGCTGAATGAGCAACAAGTCATTGCAGTCTGGTTTCCCGTTGTTAACGACAATTTTTATGCTGTAGTAGGGGACATTATGCTTGTGCTAAATATGAAATAACAATTAAGATATGCAATTAGTTACGCAAATTCTTCTGTTTTGTGTTTTACATTATTATTGATGTAAATTGAGTGCATTTGGGCTTTGAATTGTTAATTGGACAAACAAGCAATTTAAAGATGGAAAATGGTGATGGGTATTTTTACTATTTGTGACATTATTTAATTTAATTTTTGTAAATGATTTGCTTTTTAATTAAAAAAATTATAATAATCAAGAAATTGATCATGAAAATAATTGTTTGTTGTGGTCCTGCATTATGCATCAGCACATCAGTGTGACAGTGACATAGTGTTGCTGTTAATAAGGGGTGTGTGGGATCAGCCCATTTAAAACCTATGTTCTTAATCTGTACTGATTGGTGTGTTTGCACGTCAGACAGCATCAAGCTCAGTCCCGCATTGGGATGCAAGCCCACAGATTTTGTAAGGGCCGCTGTAAGTGCATAAGCCTCGCAGTTTGATGTGAGATCATTCCATCAATAGTGCAGCTCACCCTCTTGCTAACCTTGACTGGAGGGGCCCAGAGAAGGACATTTCTATGTACTTGAAGAAGATTTGGAAAAAAAGCATTCATTTGTTCTTCGAGATCATCTCAGTGAATATTACACAACCGAAATGAGAAGAGAGGAAATCTCTTAGGATCTGCCTCCTCTATCCGAGACCACACAAGTAACTCTAATGTCTTAGTCCGCATCCTGTGTGAGGGGTTGGGTCTCTTCAGCAAGGACATGAAAGCTTCGGAACCCTGCAGCGTTCAAGGAAATCAAAGGCCGTCAGTATCTGGTATACAGACCACTGTTTAGAGATGCCGACAGGTTAACCTTTGGTGTGGGCCTCATTGGCATTTCCTTTGCGGTGCTCATGCTACGTTGTGCATTTGACGTTTGCATTTATATTCAGTAGCACATGACAGGGAGGAAATGCAGAGACGCAGCTTCTCAGAATGATAACAGGAGAGACGTGGTCAGCTTCTGGGATACTCCAATGTTTAAGTCTGAATGACGAATTGATGTAAGCCTAGTTTGGCATCAACCAGCACTTTTTAATTTTCTATTCTCATTATGTTGAAAATTCCATCATGCAATAGGTCACTCATTAAGTTCCATGTACGTAGAGTATGCAGTCATTGTCAGCTCAAGTGGTATTGGGCATTCATTCAACACAAAGCAGCTGACTGCAGAGCAATGTCAGCCTGTCATTTGTTGAATCCAATGCTGGTATAACTCATGCATCAGCAACCTGACAATTAAGCCTAAAGTACATTTTCCAATAACAACTCATCCACTTTAGTATTTAATACAATGCAGTTTTTTTTGTAGGGTCAGATTGACTTCCAGTGGGTGTATTTTTTTCTACTCTTTTGTTTTGATGCCCTGTGAGAGAGTCATACCACTCAACCTTAGTAGGTGTTTCACCTACAGGGTTCCCCATCAGATGAGGAAGGGACCAGTCCGCCCAGCATGGCTGCCGGCGTCCCTCTGGCCCCAGCGCAGCTGCAATCAAGAACCAGGAGATATAGGGTGAGTTCAGATCCCAGATCGTCAGGCTAGGGCTGGGATGTGAACTCAAATGTGAACAATCCCGTCCGTGCTTCCTGCGATCCCCTTAGGGAAGGGATGCAGAGTTGAAAAAGGGGGGAGGGCTCCAGCATTTTCAGTGACAAAGGTACACACAGTCGATTTCAATTTCTCTATTTCTTAGAGGCAAGTAATGTTAATTGATTAATTTGCAAGTAATAAAACTGCTAAAACATGCAGCCTTAATACCTAATTTTTACTCACCTTTCCTTAAATCCCCATGAGACAGACACTAATCTGCCCAGTGCAGTGTAGTTAAAGAACACTACTGTGTAGGGATTAAATATTTAGGTAATTTGGTTTTCACAGAAAAACATATTGCCTATAAATAGAAATGCTGTTTTTGTGATTTGTCTGTTACTTTTAATTGTTCTCTCAAAACAACAAAAGTCTTTGCAGAACTCGATGTACCGTAATAATAGAAACGTGCTGTGAAAGCACATGTACAGACAATCACAACAATCACAGCTGCCTACACAACACACACACACAACAGTAATTAGTGACTCTGCTTTTCAGCACGGACACCTATGAGACACAACAGCCATAAAAGCTGTAAAAATGATTGCTCAAATTGGTTTTCCTATCCAATTTGCCAGAGGCAACAAGGGCCCTAATTAGCAGAAATTATTAAGTGAAAACAATTAGGCCACAAAGAATTTTCAGACAACTTTTTCTGGTTTGAACTTCCTTGCACTTAAAGTACCCCTGTGCAAGTATTAAGGGTGCTTTTAGCATCCAGCTCCCCTCATCCACAAGTCCTCCTCTCTCTCTCTGTATTCCCTGACCACCAGTGAAATATTGTTTTGACTTGGACAACAGCTGCATGCAGTTTGACTGTCAACCCATTCCCATCACTCCTATTAACCGCATGGGTGAGATTCCTGTGACCCTGATGTCCAGCCTTAAAGTATTTTACATTACCATTTGCCCCGCTGAAGGTTTTTTGACTATTCATTGCTTCCCTGCCCCGTCTCCATTTGTCTCAGAGTGGGAATGAAAAGCATGACAGCCAATTCACTCTAATACCCAGCCAATAAGACGGGGACAACAGGAGACTTTTCTTCACCAAAACATCTGGCAGCATGTCTAAGTTCGGTGCTGGTGCTCCATTTTCTTTTGTGAGTCTGGGCTAAGGCATGACTGATCCTCTTCACGGTAGACCTCACACAAAAGGATGCGCTGAAAGCGCCAGGCATGGCTGAATACATTGCAGGAATCTGTAATGTCTCATAGGTACATGAAGGAGTTTTCTCTTTCAAATGACATTTTTAACAAAATTGTTAAAAATGATTCCTTTTTAAAAGAAAATTGCAATACCAGTGGTAACACACATTCCTTTTAACTGAGTTCACTTTTTCTCATTACAGACATGCAGCTCAGCATCACAGTTAATCAACCAAAACATCCAAAATACACAAATGCAACCAAAACACTTTATACACATCTCAGGATCCAGTGGTACAGTCACTCAAGTACTGTATGTAAGGACAAATTTGAGGTACTTGTACTTAATATTCCATTTAAAGCTACATTTCACCTTTGCTTTGCTGCATATCAAAGAAGCATTGCACTTTCTACTTCATTGCATTTATTTGACAGCTTTAGTTATAACTTTCAGCTTAAGATTTTATACATCAAATATATCAGGTTATGACATTTGCATTGTTAAAGATGAAACTACTTAGCAGTTAACACAATTATTAAAATTAGCTCTACCTTGACATTCAGATGTTGCATAGAGGATAATGAATCTACTCAAATAATACATAAATGATTAATTTAACACCAGTGGTTTTACAGAATGAGTATTTTTACCTTTGATATAGCACGATTTACTGCTAATATGTATGTATTTGTACTTGAGTAGCAGTGTGTAGGATTGGGGTCTGCCCATTGGTCCGACATCCCATTGTTCCGACCATATTAAACCCATTGTTCCGAAGTCCCGTTGTTCTGAAATCATCATGATGCCCTGTGGTTAAGGTCTGGTTAGGTTTAGGCACAAAAACCACTTGGTTAGGGTCAGGAAAAGATCATGGTGTGGGTTAAAATGAAAAAGAAAGTGGCAAACACATTAGTCTGAGTGGGCAGAAGTTTGCTGCAGAGATCAGCCTCTCATTGGGCAGAACGAGCCACCCTCTGAAGTCCCTCCCTACCACCTCCGGTTGTGTAGCAGTTTTCAACCGTTTTCATCACGTCCTTTACTAACTTTTGCGGTGTTTGATCTTGCGGGGATGTAGCCATTTTTCTGCCATGGTTCGCGTCCTGTAGGTGATATTTTTGTGGGCTTGTTACACCAAAACCTGTTTCCCCCCGGCAATATTTTTGCAAGCGCACCGTTGCTGTGGCACCGCCCAGAACCATTGTGATTGGTTGAAAGAAATACAAGCAGCTGAGGCGTTTTTTTTTCTCCAATCTCACAGTGAGAGTCGGCCCAGCCAGACCTTTCTTTTCTTGAGAAAGGTCTGGTGAGCGAGACTACAAACACATAAGTCGTGAGCCTGCTTCGCCTCAAGCCATTCCCAGCTGACCCAGAGCCGGTCGCGGCGCACCATCAAGGTAGAAATACACCTGCCGGGAGCCCTTCAGCACCACGGAGAGCTCCCCACACAACAGGAGATACATAATAACAGGAGATTATGGTGTTTCATTCTCTCCTCTCTATGACACTTGTATCTCGACCAGTAGCCTACTTTTGTTGCGTTTGCTGATCCTGTATGGTACACAAATACAGTATAGCCTAGTTTAATCACATATCGGAACAATGGGACATCGGACTAATGGGATGTCGGACCAATGGGCTGTCAGACCAATGACATGGACCCGTAGGATTTAGAGGCATCTAGCTGTGAAGTTGCGTTTTGCAACTAACTATATGCTCCTTTATTTACCCCTCCCTTTCCAAGCATGTTGGAGAACCTCTGATGGCCTTGAGGTAGTGATGTCAATGGTTAACAGCTGAGAATATTTTTGACCGGTAACACATGTCGATCTATAAGTCTATTTTGCTACTCTTCAGTTTGCACCACTGCGCACCACCCAGATCTGGTAGGAGCTAGATAACTAGCAGCACCAGTTATTCGGTGCTGCCGCTTGTAACACCTTCCCAACCCAACAGCATTGCCATGGAAACATTGTACCCACCCTCTGGTCCACCTCTAGGTTGCCCCAGTGAATAAGCTGCTCAATTTTGAGCTGTAAAACAACTTGAGTACTGTAGACCATGTTACCACTGTTAGCTCTGTTACTGCCATTAGCAGTGTCTGCATGACTAGTGGTGCTAACATTGTAAACAATGCTAAAGGGGTTTTGCGGCTCAAAATGAAGCTGCTTACCCACTGGGAAAACCTGTGGGGAGACCGAAGGGTGGGCACAATGTTTCCTCAGCAATGTATTCCATCATCGTGACAGCATTATCAGCTGTAATTGCTGCATGAGTGGTGCTGCTACTTACCTAATGTTAGCTCCCACCCAACCTGGGCACTGTGCAGTGCAGATAGGCCAAGGAACTAGTGGAGACAAGAGGTTGGGGGTTGAGCGTGTTTCCACATGTTAGCATGGCTGTCTGGCTGTCTGACAGCAAAGCCAACAGAAAATAACATAAAAGTCAAGACATATACATCACAAACCATTAAAATGTCATCACATCTTAATGGATAGTGTTAGCGCTTTGAAATGCAGCGGTAAAGTTCACTTAGGCAATGAAGCGCAGGAATAAAAGGAAACACCTGTTGTATTTCATGCCTTTTTTTCCTATTAAATATTATTCGTTAATGAGTGTCAGCCTATCAAAAGCTAAAATTAACTGAAACTGATCTTGAGATAATGTTAAAACGCAAAGGGCTCATGGAAGAGGACCTGCTCCCAATGTAGAAAGGCTTGTTTTAAGACAACAAAAAAACACAGCAATTCTTGGTGTTATGCAATTGTACACGAATAAAGTCATAGTTATGAACATTATATTTAATTTCTGCCAATAGATCCCCCTAAATCCTACACACTGCACCTTTAAGTAAAATTGCAGGATTTTTACTTGTAGCAGAACCTTTTTCATAGACGTATTGTTATTTTTACTTGAGTAAAAAGATTAGAGTATTTCTTCCACCACTGTCAGGAGAGACTCTTGTACCAGAACAATGAATTGTCTCCCAGCGCAAAATTTGATTTTGGTACACTTGGACTGTTCTTCCCCAAAGTATATGTCACAGAAATAAATCAGAAATGCTGCAATATGCTTCAGTGGGGTTTTTTTTTAATACAGTTTTTGCACCGAGTGGTTTTGAGAGCACAAAATGAAACTAATAATTCCAGTAATGCAACACAAAACTACATTTTACTGTACATACTTTTATAGGAAAACTACAAAAATAGAAATACAGAAGTGCTAGTCAACCCTGTTTTCTGCATGTGTCCGCAAGTTCTCATCCACATCACACCTTATGTTTTTTCTTCTTCTCACAGTTCTTTTATAGCGGTTATAAAGGCATGAAAGCAGACACTCAGGAGTTTTTGCATTTTTATGTCATTGGGCAATAGGTATTATGTATTTGGGTTGTCTGTCTGTCCATATGTCCGTACTTAACAAAATCTCAAGAAAACCTTGAGGGAATTTCTTCAGATTTGGCACAAACATCCACTTTGACTCAAACATGAACTATTAAAATTTGGTGGTCAAAGGTCATTGTGACCTTGTCTGTTGCATTCTTGTGAACACAATATCTAAAGAACACCTGGAGGGAATGTCTTCAAATTTGGCACAAAAATCTACTTTGACTCAAGAATAAACTGATTAGACTTTGGTAATCAAAAGTCAAAGGTCACTGTGACCTTGTGTCAGTCTTCTTCTCAATATATGAATTTTTTGATATCTCAAGAGGGCCTTGAGGGAATTTACTCAAATTTGACACAAATGTCTACTTGGACTCAAGTCTCGTTGAATT